ACACACAAGTTACTACACATTCTCTCTCTCTCCCTAAATAAGTACACTTTCTCTCTCTAAACACACTCTAACTTAAGCATCAGAGGGGGGTTCCTCGAGCCACCCCGAGGGCAGTTACGTTTGTCACCCTATGCAGGTTACCAGCTGGACCCAGCCAGCTCCAGTCAGAACCCCCTGGTCCATACCCGGAATATAATATATATATATATATATATATATATTATTCCTGACGAAACCCAGAGAATTGAGAAATAAGGAAAAAATCCTTACATCAAGACTTGATTTTTAGGGTTCTAATATCAATTGATTTGGGGCTTTTGTATACTTAATGATTCAATTGATTACTCAAGCATAAAGATGTATTTTTATAAAGTTTTAAGGAGTTTTTGATTAAACTATAATGCTGGAATTTTGCCAAAGGTACTACTTTTGATGGTTTTATGAAAGGGTTTGATTACCCATTAAAAGAAAGGTTAATTAGGGGTTTTAAAATTATTTTCCGATTATTTTGAGTGATTTAAAGTGAGTTTAAGTTGCTGGAAATTGTGTATAGTAGGGTAATTAATATAAGGTTATTGTCCCTTTATGTAGGAGACTTGGTTCGGGAGTTGTTGTAGTGTATTCGGCTACTCTAAGGGCTTACTTGAGGTACAATCGCGTACTTGGAATTTTACTAAACGTGTAGTATCATGCTAGGATTACTTTAATTAATTCCAAGTTAGTATCATGCTAGGAATTGGTTGGAATTTGGTTAATTGATTCGATTGTTGATTTCAATTGAAGCTTGGTGAATTGTTTGTGTAGCATGATTGGTTGGAATGAATTATGTAATGGAATTGGTGATGATGGAATATTGTTTTTGAGCCATACTTTTATTATTGGCATGATTAGGAGCATGTTTAATTAAACTAGAAGTTTAATTTGGCTGAGAATATAAAAAGGGAATTTTTGATATGGTTCATAAAATATTATTGGTGCTTTAGCACAAAAGGTAAGGATATAATGAAATATGTTGTGATGCAATCGAGGAGCTATATATATAATGAACGAGATGGAGTGTACCTTTATGCACTAAGGTTTTATGCCTTGTTAAGATGGGATGGAGTGCACCCTTATGCACTAAGGTGTTTTCACCTTGTTTAATTAGAAAGGGTTCAACATTAAATTAAATGTGATCACTAAATATTCAAGAACTAAATTGGAATGTTTGATTATTTGAATGATTTATGTGGATTGGTTGTGTTGTGGATTGAGAGTCATCACCATGTCTAAAATATGTAATCAACGTAAAGTGAAAGAGATTACGCACCAAAACTCTTGGAATGTATATACCTTGAGTATGAACATCTTAGGGGAGTTATGTGACTTTATATATGATCATAACTTCTACTGGGAGTACAGGACGCTGTTCTTTCCTTTTATTGCGCAGGACATCTGTCACTCATAAGTGACATTTTTGCCTACCCGGTTAGCTTTTGGTGTAGTTTACCTCAATTTATTTGGGGCAGGGATTTGGTGGAAAACCCGTTCGATGCGTAATCAAATAAATAAGCAATTAAATTATCTATTGTTTGGTTGTATGTTGTATGCTTGTATACAGATGCAACAAGGTAAGTTGTGTGATGCTAGGATGTAAGCATGTTAGTTTGGTTCATTTACGCTTATGTACTCAACATTTCTGAGTGTGTGTATATTTGTTTGGCCTTGTCTTTATCTTGGCCCTACGACGACGCAGTTCTAATGGCGAGTAGTAGGACAGTTTAAAGTGAAGCTTTTCAGGTGATGCAGCATATTCATGTCGGGGTTTGAGTGAAGAGCGAATCCTATTCTAGTTTTGTTTTGAATATGAATTATTATTTATTTTTGGATTATTATTATTGTTTGATGAGACTAACGCATTGGTTTAAAATATTCATTTGGTTTTGAAAGGGCCTACAATGGTTCCAAATTGTAAGTTGACTTCGTTTGAATTTGGTTTGACATTACTTTCGTTTGGTTCGACTTTTGAACTTGGTTTGTTTTGAATGGTTTTTTCGAAAATGTCTTTCGCTGTGTGTCTTTGATAAATGCCTTAGCCGTTATCACAATGGCGGTAATGCCTTAGATTTTCCTTTTTAAAGGAAAGGAATTCCTAGGGTGCTACATTGCAGAGGCTATAAATTCTTCAATATTACTCTGAATTGGGTGATTCTTGAGCCTAACCTCAAGGATTTTTCAAGAGGAACAATCTTTTGTGAAATAGCAAAAACCCAAAACAACCAGAAGTGCCCAAAAATTGACTCCAAAGATACACGGGCTGATTTTCTTTTAGAAAAGAGGAGAAGAAAAGTAGGAAAAGGTTGAGGGAAAAGAAAAGTAAGAGAGAAGAAGAGAATTGGGTTTTGGTGTGAAGAATATGAAAGGTATGAGGGGGTATTTATAGGCTCATGAATGAAATAATTAAGGCAAGATTTTGTAAGAAAAATTATGGTAATTTTGGTTTAAGGCATTACTTGGAAAAGAGAGTTTAAGAATTAAGGAAGGTTTAGTCTATGGTGATTAAGAAATAAAGAATTAAGGTAAGTAGCTTGATCATAAAATGGAAGATGGCAAGTAAGTTTGCTTGGAGAATAATAAGGAACAAATCTTTGTGAGATGGGAAAAAGGAATTAAGGAAATAAGGAATTTAAGAAAGATAATTAAAATACAAAACTAACAAAATAATTAACCCAAAATTAACATATGTTGGCCGAAAATATTGAGCCTATAAATGCTCATATTTTCGGACCTCTTTGATAGTTTTTAGGAAATATTTTGCTAGATTTTAAGGATTAAAAATGATTGTGTAAATAATATATTTTGTAGAAAATAATAAATTAGAAAATATCAACTTAAAACTAACTTAATTAACTAAGAAAATCATATTTTCTACACTTAGAAGATCCGAAATTATTAGCTAATTAAACAGGATTTTCGGCCTTTTTAAATATAATTAGGAAATATAATTTTGTTTAATTAAAATATCCAATATAATTTATATATATATATATATTTATACATATATATATACATATATATGTATACATATACATATATACATATATATGTATACATATACATATATACATATATATATATATATATATGTGTGTGTGTGTGTGTATATATATATAATTCGGTTTCTAAAATAAAATAAATGGATAATAAACCTTATCCAAAAGCCAAAATAATAATTGAGTTTTGAAAGTGTTTTTGGCGCCAAAATTCAAATATCATTTTGGATCCAAAATTCAAATAGAAAATAATTTACTAAAATACCCTTTTTAGAAAATATTAATTAATTAATTAATTAGAAATTATGTCTCAAAAATACGGGTTATTACACCCTGCACCAGTGACATCAACTCAGTGGTCATTTTGGTAACTAGGGTGACGAAGTGCTCTATAAACATTCTTTTCAGCTAGCTGTAGGAATATACAGAGCCTTTTGGGATGGCTCCGCACCATTCTGCTGCTAGTCTTTCCAGCGTAGGAGGGAAAGCCTTGTACCAGACTGAATCCGTCATGGTGTAAAGTACCATGTGATTCTCGAATACTGGGACATGGTTTTTTGGGGTGGTTGTGCTGTTGTACTTGTAGGTCGGCATTTTGATCTTCTCCACTGGTTCTTCGAGAATCTCCCTCCAAAATGGGGAATCATCTGGAATCACCTGGAGCTGCGCACATTTCATCCTGTCCAAGCTTGGCCCTCGCTCTGAGATCGGACATCTGTTGCGAGTGACTCGTGCCACTAGACTTCCCCTTTCAGCGGCCTCTTCATCCCCCTACTCTTGATTCAGATCACGAGCCTTCAGCTCCATAACCTCCTTCCTTAGATGGACTAGTTCTTTTTGTTTCGGGGTGAGAACCGGTGACGTATGCTTTTTGGCTAGCGGTTCAGTGGCTGCAGCGGCTGATGTTGATCCAGCTCCTTTACCAAAATTAGTAAGTACTGCTGTCATCGCGGCGAGTTGTTCCATACTGCATATGGAAAGGTTTTGAAGTATAGATGACACATTGACAGGCTAAGGTTTTTGGGTTAGGTGTGTCTAGATGATTGGTTTGTTATTCGGGCTTGTTATTGGCATTCCGAACTTGAAAGATGAATTGGATCCTACCAGATCCCTCTGTTTCACCACCGCTTTTGTCGTGACAGGTGAAGGTCCGACGAGATTAGTTTTCTAGATTATAGTTGATTTTGTTTTTCGGCAGATCCTTTAGGACCTACAGTGCCCAATGATGTTTTTTGTGGTGTTTGGTTGTTTCCAGCCATTTTGGAAGTGGGTGTTTGTACTGCTTCTTCTTCGGCCATGGCGGTTATCCAGCTAGTCCCTGGTCAGTCAGTGAACTCAGGTACGCACAATCTTGGCCTCTCCTTCTAACGCCAATTATTCCAGGTGAGGTGTGGTACTGGTGGTTCGGACTGGATCGGGCTAGGTCTAACTGGGTAACCTGCACAAGTGACAAACGTTACTGCCTTGGGGGTGGCTCGAGGAACCCCCCTCCAAAGCATAAGTTAGTAAGTGTTTAGAGAGAGAAATTGTACTTAGATAGAGAGAGTGTGTAATAAACTTTATGTGTCTAACCTCCTTTCCGTTGTACTTGGTCCTCTATTTATAGATGTACGATCTCCTTTTAGGTGGAGCCATACTGGTCAGCCTGTAAGCCGACTCTAACGGGCTGGTGAGCCCCGCCGGGAGCGTGATGATAGCTCAGCAGGAGCCATCCTTTACACTTTTAACCTTTTTTTTTTAAATAAAATAAAAAAAATCATAACTTCAACTTCTATGCTATATATTTTAAAATAATAAAAACAACGCTAATTACTTTTTATTAAAATCACCCATTACTATCTATTAAATTAAAGTTATTCAAAGATTATTTTTCGTCACTAAAAATATATAAGCACGGATACATTCTATTTTCTTGGGAGTACATTAAAAAACAAAGAGAGTATTATTGATTCTTTTGATGCACGATTTAAGCTTATACCGTCAAGTAAGACTTTTATAATTCAGTTGACCTCCATTCTTTCTTCTCTCTCCCATACTCTGGACACCTATAGAAACAACCAACGCAAACCAGCAACATCCACTCCCACCAGCTAAACAGAACATCACCTTAGTTTTAAGATTCTTCATAATATCACCAAATTATCCCACACTTTAATCATTTTTTCTTTAGTTTACAGTTCAACCTCAACCTACCGGTGAAGTTTCCTCTTCTTGTCGGATCATTTGTTTAATAATCCTTTAATTAATATATAAAATTAATACATAGCTAATTGTTGAAATTCGTTAGTTGAGCTCTCGAAATCGCACGTCTTTTTCTATGGTTTCGGTTAGTTGACTCCATTTTTAAGCAATATTATTCATTTTGCTTTATGGGTTGTTCTTCCTTTTGCTTCATTTCCTGTAATCAGCAGCCGAGTTGGGGCGTCGGAATCGTTCCGATTTTCCGATTCTGAGGACGAATTTCATGGCGGAATGCTCGAATTTCGAATTGGGTATGTTGGGTTTTCGAAGAAAGTGGAAATTAGGGTTTGTCACCAAAGCTTTATTGGGATTATTCGTGGTTTTTGCGCTTTTTGGACCGGCTACGAGTTTGAGACCCTTGAGAGAGCGAGCGAGGTCTTGGGGAGATGAGGTTAGTCTTACAAAGTCAGTTTTTAATTTCATACTTGTTTGAAATTATGTGGAAGTTATTGTCATATCAAATAGTATCATTATGTTTTTTTTTTTCTGTGAAGCAAATTTTGCTTAAGTTTTCATTGTGTTTATAACTTTATAAGCAACTTAGTATGTATTATAGTGCTAAACCAACGCTTATGATGTTATGGACTAATGATTATTTAGTCTTACTTCCTGACTAAACTTCAAGTTGGGTGCCATTGCAATATACTTGTATGTTATGAATGGGAGCGTGTCTAAAGTATAACCGAGGAAAACATATCTTTGCATTCCGCTATTGCATATAATATGATGAATATGGTCTATAGTAATCTGCATAATGTATACAAGAGAATGTTATTGTATATGCGCAATTTATGAAAATATTGAAGAAAAGGCGAGTGAGTTTAAAATGAAGTAGGATAATGTGATAAAGAGATTTTAGAAGGTGGGCAGTTGGGCGTAAGAAAAAGATGAATAAGTAAGAGAGACTCTGTGAAAAAGAGTTATTATTGTGGGGGCGATTGGGGTAAGATGGAAAAGGGGTAGGTCTAAGATAGAATAAAACAAAGTGGGTAGAACAAAAATGAATAGACTAGTGAGTAGAAACAAAAAGGTAGGATGAGTATGTACTAAGGTGAATATCGTATATTACATGATTCGTGCATTGATGTCAAAATCGCATCGTTACAAATCTTTCATTGAAATGTGTGTCATTCTAATGGCTGTTTTCCTTTTTTTACTTTTTGGTAAAAAAATGATTTATTTTAAGTTTGGCATTAGATATAATTTCCCACTATGAACAATTAAATTTTTTGGTGGTAAATTAATCCTTTAACGCACTTAAGGCATCTTCGATGGTTAGGTATAACCATGTGTAACTTGACTTGTCACATCAACATTTCCAGTTACGCCATTTTTGGCTATCATATTCTCTAATGGCGAGTCACAAAACATGCAACATAAATGACTGCTTATGTCAAACAAGCTCTTCCATCTAGCTATATTTCTTAATTTGAGGTAAACCGAGAACTTCTATATTCTTTGATGTTCAGACAAGCTCTTCCATCTAGCTATAATTTTCGAACTATTACAGAAAGCCACCACTGGAGTTGTTCTCAGGTCCTAAAGCCTTGGCGAAAAGCACTAGAGTGAGGTGCAGCGTGTTTGAAGTAAAGAGCACTTTCTAGAAAATAATAATAATAATTTGTGAGGTAAAACCTAGTTGCAGACATGAATCAAATGATATTAATGTGGTATGCCGCCACTCGTCTTCATGTGCCTCAGCTTGCCATATAGTGCCCACTGCACCATCAAATCTCAGTTCACATCATTAAATATGTCTCACCTAAGACTTTCTAATGACTTTAGCAGCAGTGCCTTCACACATCTCAGCTTGACTTTCATAAGTCGGGTAAAGTGGATTAGTAGTTCATGTTATTTGGTTATATGAGGCATTATATGGCTTGCAAATGTTAGAAAAATTGACAAACTTTGGTAGACTTAAAGTCTAAGAAAGTACTTTCAATCTGGAAGGGGTTTAGAGAGTAGAAATAGAGATAATATATTTTAGGGAAGATAATACATTTGATTGGAGTTCCCATAATAAATACATGGTCTATTTCTGTTACTCTTCAGCTGAGGAATCTCTGATATAGGGATGTTCCATTTGTTTGAAATTGTGTTGGGGAGATAAAACACTTAATTAGAGTTCCTATGATAAATAAGTGGTCTATTATTGTAACTCTTCAGCAGGGGGATAATCCATTTGTTGAGTGTGTACAATTTAATCTATCCAATAAATAAGACGGGGTAGAGTTCAGGACACACAGTAAAATCATGCCTTGGCAATAATTACTGACTATTAAGATACTTTGCTACATTTGATGCAGTTGAGATTTGGATTTATCCAGAGGGATAAATGTTTAGTAAACTCTTAGTTTCAAATTGTACCAGGCGCAAAGGATCCTAGGAGCCTAGGGCCCTAGGTCTAAGGCGCAAGGTGACCTTTTGTATATGAGGTACATTTTAATGTCCATTAAAGAAACATCAAAAGAAAATATATCTGTAAAGATAGTAATATTAGAATAAATGTAAGTTCTAATAAGAAGGGCTTGGTTTTTGTATATTAGGCTCGTGGAGTCGTTGGACAAAAAGGTTTGGCCTCCCGCTTCCTTACACATGGGTATGGTCTGTTGACATTTCAATTTGGCCAAGAAAATGGAGAATCTTCGTTATGTAATTGAGTCTGATATTTGGATCTATATACCCATGTCTGAGTAGTGTAGCTTTTTAAGGGGCAGGATATATTTGAACAGCCGAGATGTTTTTAGAGATCAGTTACTGGTATTGGCTATGCTGCCTTCAATTTTCACTACGCTACTCTAATTAAAATCTTAGAAAGCAGCTAATGCTTTTGTAAATTTTATTGGTTATTGTAGTTTGTTTACGCGCAGCCAATTTATGCTTATGCAGCCTCACACGGTCACACCTTTACCTTCCTAATTAGAAAGTTCTGCTGTGCGTCTCTAATCATGTGTTTAACTATTGGTTGTCGATGTGACTTTTTCAGTGGCTCTTTGTCAAAAAAGAAGACAGCAATATGGCACCCTTTTCTAGCTGGAACATTAGTGGAACCTACAGAGGTTTGTAATATTCCACTCAAATACGAGTCGAGTGGTTTTTAATTGTATTCCCTTGTCTAATAAGCAATTTCTTCTTATGCATACTCGTATTTTCAGTACTTGTTTTATATACCAACGTAACCTGGAACGCGGCTCAGATCCTTGAAATGCGACCCATTTCTTTCATCCCCATTTGTGGAATGTTTCCCTTTCTGATCGCTTCCTCTGTTGCGAAAGCCCTACCTAATTGGACTTAATTTCAAATTTAGTGTTTAGCAACGTATATTTGTCATTAAGCTCCATATGCACATTGTCTTTGGTAGTCTTACTTTCCTAAGATTTAGTATACATTTTAAATTTTGGGATATGAACTTTGTTTTGCAATTAAGGATTTTCAGATCTCAGCTATTCAATGCTTCAATTTTAATTTATTGTTTACATTTCAAATTACAATCATTAACGCTAGCCTCCCGCCTCCTTCCCTCAGTATATTCTACTGAATTCCCTAGAAACAGCGTTCTGCATACTGCATTTTGTATCAGATTTTCTATCGAAATAAATTGCCAACTGCTATGTTGTTTGAAATACACATGGGGGTTGGGACACTCGGTGGATTAGGGAGCTTGGAAATTAAATGTAAAGATAGAATTTGTATGTTTATTATTTTAATGTTGGGATTACAAGAAAGTAGTACAGTGTTTTCTGAAAAAAGCATATTGGACATTACTTTCTACAAGATTATCAGTTATGAGACTTGTGACTAGCCCTTGTGCAGACTAAACAAGTGGATTTTTCATCATCCTTTTTCCTTCTTCCCTTTTTTTTTGGTGTGTTTGACATATCTGATGCTCTTTTGGCATTCAGGTACTTGGAATTTTTTGGAGTCTGCAAATTTCTCATCCAGATTTCCAGATTTTAAGAGATCAGATGGAAACTCTGTAATTGAGTTGATGAGTACCCCAACAAAAATAACTGGTGTACATTATGTTCAGGTAAAAAATCTGACCATTTTTTTTAACTTCCCTGTGCTTTTAATCTTGTAACATGTTTCTTTTGTAGAAGTTTAATATTTGTTGCTATGTTTCTTTCTTTGCTTATGATTACCCTTTACCTCTCTCTTACTTTCATCAAAGCTGGTTCATTTCTTTCTCTCTCTCTTTCCTCATCACATGGGTTCCTAAAATTCCGCGCATCCCCTAGGTGTTGCACATGAATAATAATTAAAAGAATTGAGGAAGTATTTGATGAGCAAGTGTAAAAGATATATGGCTGTGATCAAATTAACAACTCAAGTTTCCAAAACTACAATCAATGAATCTTAGGACTCATTGCCCTATGACATCAGTCCTATCTACAATAATATTTACTTCGATAAAATAAATCACTCCTTTAGCTGTAACTTTCCTTGGCATTATTAAGTTTTAACAAGTATAGTTGTATATTTTGTTCAATGTAGGTACTTTATGGCTCCAAAGAACATCATTTCTTGCTTGCCATATGTAATCAGGTGTTGCGATTTGCAACTGCCACAGAGAAGCTTCTTCTTTTACTTTCTTTTCATTGTTTCTGAATTTACCTCAAGATTCCAAGAAAAAGTGCTACAGCTTGAATAACTGTTCATGCCAATGTACGAATAGGCTTGCCTAGGCGCTAGACGGTCAAGGCCATGCACCTTTTCAAGTGTAGGTGTGGTGAATTTTGATGAGGTGTGTCAGAAGCCTGCACTGAGGCTTAGCTAGAGACGTGCAAATGATTTTCCATAATTACTTTCATTGATAATTAAGTGATCCCAGATTCAAGTGCATTAGGCACACTTAGGCACGCCAAGGGTGCAGGGAAATCCCTATTGCCTTTGATGCTCCTTAAGCCATTTTTTTGTTATATTGGTCCATCTTTGGACTTCGTATTTAAAGCTTAAGTTTCTTTAAAGGCTTTAATGGTGAGACATTTTGTGTGAACGCTCACTTTCAGAGTCTAGGTAGGATCCACACGAATGATATACTGTATAAGTAGAGGCTAGGGTTGGTTTTCTTATATTAGTTAGTTTGAGCAATCTTTGAAAGAAATCTCTTTTTTTTTTTTTGCATATGGAGAATTTGGATTTTTCTTATATTATTATAGAATGACCACAAGTTTTGTTTGTGGGAATTGGAACTTGGAAGGGAGAAAGAAAGAAATTGCTTTGGAGGTATGATGGCAATTCTGTGGAGTATTTGGCTGGAGAGGAATGGTCATAATTTTTTAAGGGAGTAGCTGCATATCCTGAGATTTTGTGGTGAGGATGATTTTGTTGGCATCTCTATGGGCTAAGAGGTGGCAGGTGCTTTCCTTTTTAATCGATAGGAGAGATACAAAGGAATTGTTTACTCTGAAAAGGTACGAAAAATTACCAGGCTGAAAGAATTGAAGTAGCATTCACAGAAATGATAGAACAAGTTATGGTGGCCTGGTGGGTCTCCTCCACCCTTCCCTAAATTAGATATTTTCTCAGGACATATTCCTTTTTATGCAGTCTGACTGTAGGCAACAAAGCCATTAAAAAACCAGCAAAACCTGTTCTGGTACAAAAAATATACTCCAAATTCATCTGCTCATGCAACTTTCTGCTTCTTGGTTCCTTCCCTATCATTTTCAGATACCCTCTAAATTTCAATTGTTACCTTGTTATTGTGCTGGGAATCAGTGTAACAATGTAGGCTGGAGACTAAGCTAACAATGGCAGCCTTAGCACGTTGTATTACTCAACAAGGAAAAACAGTAATACACCTTCTTTCGAGAGGAAGGAGCTCTCCCAACTACAGACTTCTGTAATTAATTATTTTCTAATATCTCATTACAAAAACAAACCTCCTATTAATACCCCCAATTAACAGCCTATCCCAAGCTAAGGCATGCCAGCACCATAACAAACTAATAACAAACTGATAACAAACTGTTACAGCAAATTATTATTATACCCTTCTACCCCAAAATTGGTTATAACAAACATCCAGCTCAGCAAGCCTATAACAGATTCTTCTTGGGTCTTCTAGAGTATGTAAAACGGAAATTGGGCTCGGGCTGGTTCCTAGCAATACCTCCCACCCAAGCTTGCACCTTGTCCTCAAGGTGGAAATCAGGAAACCTGAGATTAACTTCATCAAAAAATTCCCAAGTTGCTTCAAAGGCTTGCAAACCCGTCCAGTGAATCAAAACTTCCATAGAGGCTTGAGAATTCCTCACACCCAACACTTCCCATGGTTCAACCTCCAAAATTAAGTCCGCAGTCAGCTGTGCAGGAAGGGTAGTGGGACGGTGACCAGTACCTAAGGCTTTTTTAAGCTGTGAAATATGAAAAACAGGGTGGATCTTCGTACCAGGGGGAAGCTGCAGCTTATAGGCCACCTTACCAATCTTCTGGAGCACTTGGTAAGGGCCATAGAAACGAGGAGAGAGCTTATCATTTGATCTTCGTACCAGGGATCTTTGCCGGTAAGGCTGTAATTTCAGATATACCAGGTCACCCTCCTGAAATTCCCCATCACGCCTTCCCTTGTTCTCATAAGCTTGCATATAAACTTGAGCTTGAGTTAGGTGAAATTTCAGATCATCGAGTACAGCATCACGCTCTAGTAACTGTGCCTCTACTGAAGCCACAGAGGTACTGCCAGAAGCAAATCTCACCAATTGAGGGGGGTCCCGTCCATAGAGAGCCTTGAAAGGGGTGTAATTAGTGGCCGTGTGGAATGATGTATTATACCAATATTCAGCCCAAGGTAACCATCGTGCCCATGTATGGGGTTTGCCATTCACAAAACACCTCAAATAAGATTCCACTCCTTTGTTCACAACCTCAGTTTGACCGTTTGTCTGAGGGTGATAAGCTGTACTGCGCATGAGTTGAGTGCCCTGTAACCTGAACAACTCCTTCCAGAAAACGCTAAGGAACACCTTATCTCGGTCCGACACAATTGAACTGGGAAACCCATGTAGCTTAACAATTTCTGCCATGAAGATATATGCCACACTTTGAGCAGTAAAAGGGTGCTTGAGTGGAATAAAGTGGCCGTACTTGGATAATCGATCTACTACCACAAGTATGGTGTCCCAACCCGAAGATTTCGGTAACCCTTCTACAAAATCCATGGATATATCCTCCCAAACTCTTTCCGGGATTGGCAAAGGTTGGAGAAGACCCAAGGGAGATAATGTCGAGTGCTTGTTCTGTTGGCAAATATGGCAGTGTTGAACGTACTGTGTCACGTCTTTGCGCATCCCAAACCAGAACCATTCTCCTGCTAGACGTTGATAAGTTTTTAGATCACCAGCGTGCCCACCTACTGCGGAGTCATGGTACTCCCTCAGCAGCTTGGTCGTGAGCTCACATCGCTTCGGGATCACTATCCTGCCTTTGTACTTTAAGATCTCGTTTTCCAGAGAAAACCACTTGGGGGCTGCCTCCCCATTCTTAATCTGAGAAATTATGCGTTGTTGAGCTTCATCCTTGTCAATGAAAGCCCGTACATAATCCCATCTCAGCCCACATGAAGAGACCATGGTTCCACACTCAAATTCGGGATTGTGTTGGCGGGAAAGAGCATCTGCTACTTTGTTAGTAACTCCTGGTTTATAGTGAATATCGAAAGTATATCCCAGTAATTTGCTTATCCATTTCTGATATGCCTGACCCACCTCCCTTTGCTCCAACAAGTACTTCAGGCTTCGCTGGTCTGTACGGACGCTGAAATGTCGGCCCAACAAATAATGCCTCCATTTCTCAACAGCAAACACAATTGCCATCAGCTCTTTCTCATATATGGGCTTTTCTCTATTTCTGCTCCCCAAAACCTTGCTGTAATAAGCAATAGGGTGCTCTGCTTGTAGCAGGACAGCCCCTAAGCCATGCCCCGAAGCATCTGTTTCAATCACAAAGGCCATAGAAAAATTAGGTGCAGCTAAGATTGGAGCATTCACCATGGCAGCTTTTAAAGTATTGAAAGCTAAAGTGGCTTCCTCGGTCCACCCAAAGGTGTCCTTTCGCAGCTGCTCAGTCAAGGGAAGGGCAATGTTTAGCATACCCTTTGATGAATTTGCGGTAGTACCCTGTGAGGCCTAAGAACCCCCTGAGTTGTTTTAGGTTCATGGGCGGTGGCCAATCTAGCATAGCCTGTATCTTGGAAGAATCAACTTCCACTCCTGCAGCCGAGATCACATGCCCCAAGTACGCTACTCTTTCTCTGCCAAATTCACATTTCTTGAAATTGGCGTACAGGCTATGGTCAGCCAAAGTTTGCAGTACTTGCTGTAAATGATTTTTATGTGAATCCACACAGGGGCTGTAAACCAAAATGTCATCGAAGAATACCAGAACAAACTTCCTTAAAAAAGGTCGGAACACTTCATTCATGAGAGACTGAAAAGTAGCAGGGGCGTTGGTCAGCCCGAACGGCATTACCAGAAATTCGTAATGTCCTTCGTGGGTTCGGAAAGCTGTTTTATGCACATCCTCAGGCTTCACCTGAATCTGATGGTACCCCGATTTGAGGTCTAGTTTTGAAAAGACTGCTGCTCCTCCCAGTTCATCCAACAGTTCATCAATGACGGGTATCGGAAATTTGTCGGGGACCGTTTCTTTGTTAAGGGCCCTGTAATCAACACAAAAACGCCAGGATCCATCCTTCTTTTTAACCAAGAGAACCGGGCTGGAATACGGGCTTGTTGAGGTCTGAATTATCCCTGCGCTGAGCATGTCCGACACCAACCTCTCAATTTCATCTTTCTGGGTTTGAGGATACCGGTATGGCCTGACACTAACCGGATTGGCCCCACTCCGTAACACAATGGCATGCTCAATATGTCTCTGAGGTGGTAAACCAGCAGACATATGAAAAACCTGCTGAAACTCCTGGATTAGAGGTCTAAAAACCTCCGGAATGTTCGGCTCCTTCTCCTCTGATTTTTCTGAGTGGTTCAATTCCAACAAGTAACCAAACCCTTCCTTCTGTAAATTTTTGAACATGGCCTTCAAAGAAATGCCAGTCCGCCCCAAATGTGGATCACCCTTCAAAGTGATGGTGCTTCCCTCCCACTGAAATTTCAGTGTCTGATTTTTCCAGTTCGTGGCAATTGTGCCTAACTTCTCTAACCATTGAATTCCCAAAATCATGTCTGAGTTACCCAGAGGGAGTATGAGGAAATCTTCAATGATTGAGATTCCCTGAATGTCGAGCAAAACCCCCTTACAAATCCCTTCTCCCTGCACCGCTTCTCCATTACCGAGAGTTACTCCAAAACTTCTGGTTTCTATGGGGTTTAGACCTAATTTTTGAGCTGCTTCACTAGACACAAAATTATGAGTAGCCCCGGGGTCAATCATCACAACCACGGGGTTCTCATTTACTACTCCTACCATACGCATTGTTTTAGGATTAGTTAAACCCATAACAGAACTTAAAGATACCTCAGGTGAGATAACTGGACCCGGAGAAAGTGGCTCGAGTACATCGGTTTTCGCCTCAACCATAGATAGCTCACCGTTGTCATCTTCATCCAGCTCTTCTTCCATGAGCATCACACTCAACCCCCTTCGGCTACAACGGTGGTTTAGGTTCCATTTCTCGTCACAACGGAAACATAGGCCTTGTTCCCGTTTTTGTTGCAGCTCCTTCTCCGTCAACCGCCTTATTTCGCCGGTGGGTTTGGTATTGTTAGGGAATGGTCGAGCTGGGGGAAGATATTTATGGGTAGTGTTTGTGTTTGTGGAGTTTTGGTTAGGGTTCTGGATATTTGAGTGGCTGGACAGAAAGTTGGTGTTTAGGTTTGGGTTATTTTTAACAGATGGGCTTGGGGTTCTCCAGGAAGGTAGGCTGCCAAAGGACTTGGGCTTTAGGCTGATTTTCAACTTCTCCTCAACCCTCATAGATAACTCCATAGCATGGTCCAACGAAACCGGATCTAATAAACGGACCTCCACCCTTATTTCATCCTTGAGACCATTCAAATACTGGCTCTTAGCTATTTCTTCAGGAACATCATCAATGGGGCTAGGAGCTCAATAAACCGCCTCCGGTAGTCGACCACGGTGCCGGACTGGTAGTGGGCCAGCCACTGCTCGTGCAACGAGCCCGTTGCGGTGGTTCTGAAACGGCGTAGGATTATTCTTTTCAGCGCATCCCACGACCGCAAGGGTTGCCGCCGATTCTCCCATTGATACCAGAGGAGTGCGTCGCCGTCCAACGCCACCACGGCCGCCTCTAGCTTGTCTTCTTCAGAGAGGCGGTAGAAGTGGAAGAATTGCTCAGCACGAAGGATCCAACCATCTGGATTCGTTCCATCAAAAACCGGTAAGTCCAGTTTCCTCAATTTCCAGTTCACATGACCCCCGTGAAATCCTTCCTCCGGTTGCGGTTGTGGATGCGAAGAAAACGGGTTGTCCCAATTATCGGGGGTTCCGTTTTCTTGAGAAGATCGGAGCTCCGATCGGAGTCTCTCCTGTCCTGCTGTAATTTGGTTCGCGATTTCAGCTTTGAGAGTGTCCATCGCGGTGGAGATCTCTCGGGCCACGTGCGCAGGTAACCCAGCAATTTCTTGTTCCAGGAGATCCAAGCGTTGACCGTGGTTCAAGCTAGCCATCACTGTCCCTGCCTAGATCGTTACGGCTCTGATACCAAATTTGCTGGGAATCAGTGTAACAATGTAGGCTGGAGACTAAGCTAACAATGGCAGCCTTAGCACGTTGTATTACTCAACAAGGAAAAACAGTAATACACCTTCTTTCGAGAGGAAGGAGCTCTCCCAACTACAGACTTCTGTAATTAATTATTTTCTAATATCTCATTACAAAAACAAACCTCCTATTAATACCCCCAATTAACAGCCTATCCCAAGCTAAGGCATGCCAGCACCATAACAAACTAATAACAAACTGATAACAAACTGTTACAGCAAATTATTATTATACCCTTCTACCCCAAAATTGGTTATAACAAACATCCAGCTCAGCAAGCCTATAACAGATTCTTCTTGGGTCTTCTAGAGTATGTAAAACGGAAATTGGGCTCGGGCTGGTTCCTAGCATATTGTCATAGAGTAACTTCAAGTTGAACGTGCCTTTAGTTACACGCAAATTCGTCTTGAACCAACAACTACTCCCTCCATCCGAATTTAATCTTTACACTAATCTCCGTGCGGTGTTATTTTGTGAGATTTCGTGTACTGTCAAATCCAAGATCCATGATTAATAGCCGTTCTGCAATGAAAATTCCATGGGGTGTGAGACCCTAACTTTTGGTAGTGGGTGCAAAGAGGTAATAAAATAGTAATTGATCCATGAAATAACATTGGGACAGACGTAACAGGGAAGGGTGAAGATTAAAGATGGACTGTGGAAGTATCAGCTTTAGGTTGAAAGTTTGATACTTCCACTACTTCTCTTTAATGACACCATTGTTCATCATCGATAAGATTGATGAATTCATATATAAATTATTTTTTCAGTATCATGGTGAACTAAACCAGTAGATGGTACATTTTTCATGGTATAGCATGGCCATCCTCGAGCCTGTCCTCAAATTGCAATGATCTTTAGCAATTGCTTTATCACATACTTTAGCACTTGGATGCAGTTTTAGTATTCTTGCACTTATTTGTTGATAAATTGAAGGTTTTACCTAATGAAGCTGACATTTTTGTAAACGTTTTTGTAAATGTACACCTGATGAACACGTTTGTTTCATCTAATGAACATGTGAGCCTGTGAAATTGAAAAATTAAATCTGCATACTTCGATTAGTGATTATGTGCATATGAGATACAAATCTAAATCACTTTGTGAATAGTTAACAGGTGAATGATGACAGGAAAAATAATGATATTTTTTCCCCTTGCTCTATATAGTATTATAGTGTAATTGGTGTTGGGTTATTCTTAAGAAATGTGCACAATTTTTGAAGTTCTGGCTCTTTCCTTGTGAAGTGAGAAATCGTTCTCGCTTTCATCAGTTATTCCTTCTCTGTTACTTATTCTGGCGACTTGTACAGGCAACAAACTACTGGATTTCATAGGCGCCAGCCATTTGTTATGGATTTAAGTGTGAGTTAGTGAAACTCAAAGTTTTAATGCTGATTTTAAACCCAGCTAACTTGTAATTTTCTTACTTTGCTGATGTAATGCGTAAATAGTAGATTGCTTGCTGATGCTTTAGGGTTTAAGTGCCTATTCCAACGGATGACTCCTTTATGCTAGGGGGGGGGGACTTTTTTCTCAATCTTTCATTGTATTTATCTCTTTTTCCCAAACCTACTATCATTAACTTTTATGACAAGATTGTTATATTTAGGCATTTCGGAGGCGTATGGTTGAGATAAAAAATTTGGGCCCTAGTTAAAATAATCCTTTCGTTCTCTATTGTTCTACACTTCTACTCAATTTCCGTTTTGGTCCGTTTCTTTTTTGCTCTAAACACTTTGCTTACTCTATTTTAGGTTTATCCCTTTATTATTTTACCCCTTACACTCCACAATAATTACACTTTTCCACACTCTTTCTTATTTTGTCCACCTAATTCTTACATCTTCCCTATCTTTTTATATTCTCTCTTACTTTATTATAAACACACTCACCTCTAACAATATTTTTTTAGTTGCGTATTTACGTTAAGTGAGTAGAACATAAAAGAATGGAGTGATTATATTGTTTTCTTCAAAATGGTTCTTCTATTTATGTTTAACAAAAGATCAATTAAACGCATCAAGTTCCTCATTACCCCAAAAAAATAAAGTACATTAAGAAAAAACTTAACTTTTATTTTTCATTTTGGTGAATTGCAAATAAACTTTTGTTTTGGTAATCAAGAATTATTGATTACCATATAAAATAACTATTTTAATTAAATCTTTAACAGCGGTTACTTTTTTTTTTTAATAATTTAATTATTTTTATTTTTATTTTTAAAAACAACCCACCACTCCTCCCCCAACCAACAACCCAGCCCATCTCCCCTCCTATCGACGCCCAGGGGCTACCCCACCCCTACCCTCGACACCCCACCGCCCTCCTTTCCTCACTCCGACAGCCACCAAAAACCACACTAAAAAACTCATAAAATCAATCCAATTAAACCAATTCACAAAGCTTCAAACCCTAAATCGAAATTCCGCCATTATGAAGCTAAAAACAGAGAAAAGACGGAAAAAAAAAAGAAAACCTTAAGGATGCCAATCTCGTGATCGAGAATGCGAGAATCCCTAACGATGTCTTCAGTGGTCAAATTGGCTAATTGGTCCTCCCGGAAGTTACTATCTTTCGACATCACCGTTGCTGACGGCAATGCCATTGAAGGTACGAGGAGTTTCCAATGAGCAGTAGGAGTGTGATGCAGTGGAGAGAGAGAAAGACTGGCTAGTGGAGAGAAGGGGCGACGGAAGGGGTGGGGGAGGGTGTCGGCCGGCAAGGGAGGCTGGGTTAGGCGCCAACAGGGGTGGCTGGTTGGTGGGGGAGGGGGTTTAACACAATGTTCTTATTAACTCCTTGTTGTCAAGAGGTTTTACTTCCCTAGTTAGTATGTTAACTGGGTACTTGATAGTGGCTGTATTACTTTATCATGTTGGAGGTCTTGTTCCTTACTATTTCTACAAATTTTATTCACAATTTTTTTTAATGTTCGAAGAAAAAATTATTACCTCCTCCTTGCACATTTAGCTACAACAGTTTGATAAAAAGCTCACGCACTTTTAGTCAAAATGTTGCAACAAAAAGTGAACGGAGGAAGTATATTGGTGCTGCACTTTTTTTTTTTCTTTACATGTTTAGTTCCCCCTTACTGAAATGCATTTAACCATAAGCTATAGAAAACAGTAGGAGCTGATCAATCCTCAAGTTCTGGATATGAGATGGTATAATGATTTTTTTATGAATGCTTATACAATCTTCTACTTGTCATCATTTTGCTGATTTTTCAAGCCTTAACTCTATTTGCAGGGAGTTATTATATTTCATGATGCTTTTGATGATGATCATGAAGAAGGTGGTGCTCAAATTCGGGTAGAAGGTGTATATATCTGGCCATTTAGGCAACTAAGAATGGTGGCAAACAGGTATCTATCTATGCTGTAACTGGATCTGTATATTCTATGTGAATGCACTTCAGAGATCAATTTGGACATGCTTTTCTCTCAGCTCCACCACTGATATATATTGTGGATGTATAACTGTAAAAAGAATAGAATCACATGGGTAATATGTCTTGTAACCTTAAAAAAAATTCTAACAGTTTCTTGTGCAGTGGAAAAGATGGCGAGTTTGGTCCAGAAGAAGACTACCTGTTATCTAATCCATATCATTTGGTACCTTCATATCCTTTCTCTAAATTTACAATCTCATTGTTTTTGTTTCATTTTTTTATTTGGGATGAGCGGCTAGATGTTGATTGTCAGAGATGGCCTTTTAAGGGATCTTGCCTTTGCTTTTGTCGGGAGTTTCATATTCTTAAAGCTGAAAGGTGGATCTAATCTAGGCTCATAGTATCTTGTGGGAGTATTTGTATGATGGAAGGGATAAACTCCTGATTCAGGAGTTTCTGAGATTTAAATTTGATGAACAAAATTCTTTGCAAACTTGAATATTTAAAAACTTGTTTTGCCATAAAGTGTGCAAGTGTGTTTTTTGCTTGTGTATAAAAAATTATATCATTTTTTGTCTTATCCTTGGTGGAGTTTATGAAGTTAGGCCTAGTTCTCTCACCTCATTCAATATCATATTCTGTAAAAATAATTTAAGTTTAGTAAAAATAAATCAAATTCAGCAAAAGTAAGTTTAGTTTAGTAAAAATATGTTTTGATCAGTAAAAATCAGTAACTTTAAAGAACAAATATAATCGAGAATCATTAAAAATAAGTTTTAATCAGTAAAAGTAATATTAAATATAAGTTCAGTAAAAATAGTTTAATTTTAGTAAAAATAATTTTAGCTCAGCAATAATAAGGTGAAGTGAACAAAACCTTAGTTTTTAAAGGGCTTTTAGATTTACCAAGTGAGAACCCTATGTTTGAGTTATTGAGTTTGGTAATGGATGACTAGAATTGTTAACAACATTATTCATGTTGAGTAGCAATTGTTGTTGTTGCCACTGCTGCTATTGATTGCTGTCTATTGGGGTAAGGTTGTTTTTACCACAACTGAACATTTTTTTTTTTTGTTTAAATGTTGAGCAGCTTGGAGTTTTCTCATCACAAGTATTTCAAGATTCACCACGTGATAAAATTTGGAGAAGAAAAAAATGTAATTAGCCTTTCTCTTATTTATCACTTATGTTGCATATGGCCGTATGCATACTGACACTTGTTGATTTTTTGATTGTGTATGTTCATGTCCTTTTTGCAGCTCAAGTTCATGACATAGAGAAACACTGCAATATTGAAATTGCAGCTCAAGTTTCACGTGTTGCTTCCTTGCAAAATGGTATCTGATTTATTTTAGACATCTTTCTTTTCAATATTTGTTTGACTTTCTTTATTCTTCTGTCCTTTACTGTTTAATGTGGAAACCACTTAGCTGTGTTCTTTCTCTTATAGGTTCACCAGTTGCGATTGTTAATTGTTATTGCTATTTCGCCAAATAATTAGATTTTTCAACCACCATATTTAAGATGACATGTACATATATTCCTCAGTATTGGAACCCTTGTAATACTCATGATAGTTTTTGTACGTGAATAAAGCAAAAACTATTAAGTAGTATCATATGAAATTAGGAGCTTTGGATCTAAACAACCTTAAGTTATTAACATCATTTGACTTCATGTAAGATAATTCAGATGTAGCTAAAATGTTGAGGCTATATAGTGAATTCTAAACGTATGAGCATCTATATTCAAGTTCTATTCGCATTCTGTCTGTAGAGACCTATGGAGGGGACGCCCTGATGTTTCATTAGTATCATCTACTTCCTCTGTTTTCCTTTATATGCAACAGTGCAACACACCTTCATTGCACGCACTTTGAGTAATTAGGTAATGTAAACGGACAAATCAATCAAAATAATTTATACACGTAGTTCCTAACCCTTCTCTATTCTCAATGTTAAAATATTATGATAAAGCCACTTATTTACCTACTCTAATCATCTCCTAAAAAAGCATGCTCAATGGTTGTGTTGCAAATATTAGAAACAAAGGAAGTATATTTTTTATGATTAATTAACCAAACAAAAAAGTTTTTGTTTTTTTTTTCCTCTTGTTTAATTTAAAAACTTTTGGTTCTAGGATTTTATTTTTATTTTCTATTTTTTAATAATATAATGATTTAAGTGATATCGTCTCTCTCTCTAAGTTTTTTTGTTAATTTTCCATTGGTGTTATGTGTTCTACTTTTGCCCGTTCCTTTTGTTGGTTACACTTTTGCTTTGTTTTTGTTTAGGAAAACTTTTTCTTGCACAAATCTCACATCCTACATTTTCTTACTTTTTCTTATAAAATCCTACTTACAACACACTCTTTCTTACATTTTCTTATAAAATCCTACTTATAACACACTCTTTCTTACTTTTTCTTCACAAACCCTACTTGCAACACTCTCTTATTTTGGAGGGAGAAGCTATGTGAAACGAATATTGCCTGCTTGCCCAGATATGTCCAAGTAACAGTGGCGGATCCAGGATTTGGGGAATGGGGGTACAAAATTAAGTTTGATAATAAAGAAATAATAAAATAAAATTACAAAATAAAATATGGAGTGCATACAATAATTTTTTCGTAACTAAATTTTGAGATAATAAACCATTTCAATCTGCAAGGCCTATAAATTATAATTGAGTACTAAATGTGTTCGTTGGTAAAAAAAAAAAAAGACTACCTAAGAGACCAGTTATTTGTGAAAACAACTCTCTTTGATCAAAAAGTACTAACTTGACGTGGAAAAATTAAAAATAAAACCTAAGAGACCAGATTTTTAAACAGGCGGTCTCTTTGAATTAAACACAAAAAAGGCAAGGCTGATTTGTTGCTTTAGCCAATTACTTAACAGTACCTAAGAGACCCAAGGCGGTCTCTTTTGTTAACAGTTTTTATTTTATTTTTTATTTATTTATTTATTTTTTTCCGGTATGGGGGTACAGTTGTACCTCTGTGTACCCCCTGGATCCACCACTGCCAAGTAATGTTTTCCTTTATTTTGTTTTGCGATGAAATTTCAAGTTTGTGAAGGTGGACGACCATAAAAATATATAGGCAAATTTAGCAGTCCCCAATACGTCCCCACACTCGTGGCGTATACCCAATTTTTGGCAAGAAATGTTGGGTACAAATTTTTTTGGTTGTACTCATACCCACTTTCTCTCTCAATCTGTTTTTGAATTTTTTGGGGACGGAGGGAGTTAGATGAAATCTGATTGATAATTACTTGAAAAGAAGATTTTGAGGTAGGTTGTGTGTAAGTGCGTAAGTTGTGGTAGGCTTGGGAATATATTTGTCAAAAAAAATAAAAAAAAACATTTCCAAAATATTTGGAATGAAGTGAAAGTGTTAGAAACAATTCTATAAAATGGAAATTTTGTCTATAAAAACCTTTTAAAGCAACATTTTTATCAGAAAAAACTTTAATTTTTTTTTTTGGCAAGGTAAATGCCGATTCAAAATTTATTTTGTTGAAGACAACCAACCCCAACTTTTCGATGTTTACTTGCTTAAATCCGGCATTAACTCCCCACGTGCAGGACACATGCCATTTTTATTTTCTTATTCTCAACCCCCCCCCCCCCCCCCCTTTTTTCTATTCCCCACCTTTTCCCTATTACTCTCTCTCATCAGCAGCCTACTCTACCAAAGCGCCATGGGTCCATGAAGTCCTCTCAGGATCACCGCAACTCACTTCTCAAATACTTAAATGGAACCACGATTGTTGCATGATTCACAAAATCAATTGTCATTATCGCAAATTAAAAAGAAAAAAAAACTGGAAGAGACCCTAATTTTTTGAAAACTTTCAATTCAATGAACTATGCATAAATTACACAAGACATTAACAATCACTTTGGTCGAATTCAATTAGGAAAGGCTTCAATTTAAAAAAAAAAAAAAAAAACGAACTTACTTGCTCGAAATCAATGACCTTTGAATGAGAGACGATGGATATTTGATGAAATGGTGACGGGTTTAAATGAGTGGGAGGAATAGAGAAAAGAGGGGGGGGGGGGTAGAAGAAAGGGGGTGGGAATAAGAAACAAAAATTGGGGCTGGTTGACTTCTAACACCATAAATGGTGAGTCAACGCAACAAAGACACAGTCAACGTCGGAAAGCTGGGCTGGTGGTCTTTAACAAAAAAAAAAAACCGGAATCAGGTTTTAGCTTGTCAAAAAAATTTAGAAGGTTTTGCTGACAAAAAAGTTGCTTAAGGATTTTTCTGACAAATTTTCCTTATGAAATAGACTAAAGTGGAGACTGGACAGTGTTAACATCTTAATGAAATGGCGGTATTATTTGATTTATCTGATTCATTTATTGACGTTTTTTTTACAGTGTAAAGCTCAAAGTATGATGATATCTGAATTATAAAACTATTAGTTTGAATCAAGATGTGCATCTTTCTAAAAATTCAAATGGGTGTTTCTTCCACTCTTCCTACTATTTGTTGTTACAAAATCTTCTGCTTTAAATAATTGTATCACCATATTGATTGTTTTATTTTGAGACCAGGCGAATGAGCTTTCTACTGTCCTACAAATGCATATGTAGTGGCCCTCATTATTATGATTTTGTGTTGCATGTCATCTTAACTTTCTTTCTCTCTCTAGGTCTTCTGTTGTTAATGGTGTCCACTAGGGGTTAATTATAGTCCTATGTGTACAGTTTAGATATTGTTGATGTAACCTTTATGGAGTTTCCGAATTATTTGGTGTCTACTTGTAGATGGAGATCATGATCGGTATCATATAGAGGGATTAATGGAATCTCCATCAGCAGACGAAGATGGAGACTGCTTTTCTCCATTATTGCTGAATGCTACCTCTGTCAATATAGAGGTCTATTACAACAAAGCTGTCAACTATACACTGATGGTTACCTTTGTATCCTTGTTTAATTTGATTTTCTTGTCATCTGTCTGTGCCCTGCATCTATTGTTTTCACTTGTATGGTTTGGTTCCCTTGACTATATCATGCGTCAGGTGTCTTTTCTCCAAGTTCTTTTACTGATTAGACAAATGGAGCATAGCAATACCCAATCTGTAAGATTGATTTTTTATTTATTATTATTACTATTTTTTTGATTTTACTTTCGCAACTGTGAGTTGATGTGTGCTAGCTCTTTGAGTATGACGTCATAATTGATCTTGTCAGGGGGCTGCCAAAGTTTCTATATTAATGATTGGTCAACAGGCTATTATGGATGCTTATTTCTGTCTTCTACATCTGACAGCTGGAATACTAGTAGGTAAGTTAATTTCCACTTAATCATAGCAGTGCGTAATGAGGTGCTTGTGATTTCTGGAATGTGGAGGACTGTAGAGTAAAAGGATTTTTTTATTTATTCGTTTGATTCATTTACCTGTTCTATAAGCTTAAACAAATAGGGTGCTGTAGTAGTCTGTTAGGTATTCTGAAAGTGTGCTGTTTTCACCTTGAAAATAGCTCATCCGATATAAAATCAGGTGCAGCTATGCTAAGTTTAGATTAGCTCAGGGTATGTGAAACTTATATCAACCAATAGGGGATAGTAGAGGCATGACATACGGATTATCATGTATGTAACAAACAACTAGAAGTCAAACAAATTATCTAATAATTATTCTAACAAGTTTAATACGAATTGAAAATGGAGACTATAGAGGAACTGACTAGATTTTATATGAATTACGATTAAGAAATCAAAGGGGTGAAATTTTGTTTATATAAAAATTTCACCTCTTCCCTCATCCCACCACTCTTCCTTTATTTTTATTTTTATTTTTTTGGGGCTTTGAGATTTCACCTCCAATGAAGGTCATTTTGAGCTGTCCTTCCATTGATTGGCAGTGGGGTGGTTTCGGGGGGAAGGGACAAGGGAGGGGTGGTTTGAGGGGGGTGAGGGAAAGAAAGGGGGGTGTTTCGCCGTTTCAGGGGTGGGGGAAAGGGTTTGGGTGGTTCAAAGGTTGGGGAAGGGGGTGGTTTCAGGAGGGGAAGGGGTTTGGGGCGGTTTCGGGGGTGGCGGTAGGGAGGTAAGCAGCCACGACTACCATGGAAGGGAAGGAAGAGGTGGCCATGGCTTCCATGAGGAAGGGAAGGAGAGGAAAAAAAACAATTAGACCAATTACAGAGTGACACATGGCAAGGTAGCCCATTAAACTGACCATCAATTTGTCAAACCCCAAAGAAAGCAAACCCCTAAATGTTCGCATTATTAGATAATAATGTAAAATTGGATTATTAAAAATAAAATTGGGCAAAATTGGGATTTTTTGAAATAAATTTTTATAAAAATTTATTAGAATTAATATTTCTTGTTATATAAGTTCTGCTGCATTACATTGTATATGAAGATTAGAATTAGATATAAAAATAATTTACATTTAAGAAAAGAAAAAAAAAAAAATTAAAACCACGATTAAACATCAAACAAATTAAGTATGCGAAACTATAATTTAGGAGAGAAACTTGGTTAATTAATTTTACATAGACACTTATGCATTGAAGTCAAAAGTGTAGATTAAAATTTAAATTAAAAAAATCATTAATGATTGCTGACATCACACATAGAATTGGAGTAAATATTTTTAATGTGAGAATGACACATAGGATAGTTTGAGGGTTATGATGTCAGCAATGTTTTGCTTAAGTAATAGTTGGTAGATATATTTGGAAATTAAAAATCGAGACAAATCTATGTAGATCTCACATGATTACTCTTTGAAGTATATGGAGTAGAACAATCATTAAAATTATTTAATTCCATTTGCATTGTCAAGATTCTAAATGAAAAAAAAGGGGGAAAAGATTACTAACGAAGTTTCATTAATCTTATGGTATTCAAAGTAGCCTTAATTAATTTCATTTCTCTAACTTCTTGTCTTTTTCTGCTTGAACGCCTTAATCCCATAAGTGGGGTCGGGTACATGAATCAACATGAGGTCTTTCAAGAGGTCACCAATCCTAGTAATACTCTCAAATTTCAATCATTGTGGCTCATGTCAAACGATGTGGCAAGATTAATCTAACAAATAATAATGATCCAAAAAACTTTATTACAATGGAAGTCATGAGGTTTAAGTAGTATCCTGTAACGTTTAATTATCTCGATAGAAAGTTTGTATGAACAGAGGGTAGGTTTTACTGAATTTAGGGTTAAAATCTAGTGAACCATGGGTATGTTCGTTCAAAAGTTTATGTGTGTAACAGGTGTACAATAAGTTTAGTGTAGTGTACATTGAGCAATTTTAAGGTAAATTTTAAGCAAACTTAGGGGTCGTTTGGTTGGGGTTAATAATCAAAGGGAAAGGGAGTGAGCAGGCCTCATTTCCTTTGTTGGTGTTTGTTTGTCACTTTTAATCATTCCCTTTACCCTTTTTTATTTTTGAGTTTACCCAAAATCAGTCTGCATTGATTCCCCACCCCCCTAGCCTTTTCCATTCCCTTTCCTTAGCCACCATTACACCACCATGTCTACACCAGCAATCACCCTTCTACCCTACCCCCGCCACCTCGCCGCCCTTCCTCCGACCATTGCCGTCCCTTCTCTGCCACTCGTCGACCTCCAGTAAGATCGCATCTCCCTCGAAAATCTTCCCCGACCCCTCGTTGAAACTTGTGCCCATGTTCGCATCTCCCCCACCCCTTGCCGGAGGTTGTCGCACCTCCCCCATCCCTCGAAAACCTTCCTCGACCTCTCGTCGACCAATGCTGCTCCTGTTTCGATTGAGCGAAGTTCGAATTGAAGAAAAACGAGAATTTGTTGGATTTCTTAATTCGGGTTTTCCGGGGTTTGAAGGGTATTGATGATGGATAGGGTTTATGAGCTTGGAATTGACGGCAAAGGCTAGTTTAGAGGAGAAGGAAAGGTGAAAGGGATTAGGGGAAGATTTTGTGAGATGGGCTCTGGGGGATTCCGAGAAGGAGAAGTGGGAAAGTGAAGGAAAGAGGGGTTGTGTGGTGGTGTTGTGGTGGTGGTGATTCCCTTTGATTTTTTTAAAACAAACAACACACATGGAATGGTTTTTCATTCCATTCTCTTTCATTTCCTTTGTTCACTCCATTCCATTTACCTTGTGTGAACCAAATGATCCCTTAGGGTAATATTTAAAAATTTAGGGTAACTTTGAACCTGATAGTTTAAATTTAAATAGGCAGTGGGATAAGTATTGTAAGGATTGATTTGGGTAAAAACCCCAAGCCACGTGGCCCAATAAGAAGCTAACACGTGGCAGCCCTGGAAATGTCTAAACAGGACCAATCACCAGACACGTGTCCTTCCTAATCAGATGGGAAAAATGCGGCCTTAGGGCCCAATTCTCACCAAAGCCGCAAAACGGCGCAGCCCACCAAATCTACGTAAGAGTGACCTAGATAAGGGCACATTTCCCAATGACCCTGACAAGATCAATTATGACGTCATACTCAAAGAGCTGGCCATACTTCTTGGCACATCCGGTTGTACTCTATACTGACTAACCTCTCAAGCGGCCAATGATAACTTTAGAGTCATCCGGCCGAATGCTCAAATGGGCTATTGAAATGCAAAGTCTTGAAATCACTTTTGAACCAAGGAAGGCAGTGAATGGTCAGGCGTTCACCGACTTCATTGTTGAAATGACAAGGCCAGATGAACCGAAAAATCTTGATCAGGTTTATGTAGACGGGAGCTCTACTATGAACGTATATGGTGTAGGGATAATATGTAGGGGGACAAATATGAGTATGCACTACGGTTTAAGTTTCAGGCCTCGAATTATGAGGCTGAGTATGAAGCCCTGCTAGTCGGAATACACATGTGTAAGGCGGTAGGGGCAAGAAAAATTGACGCCTGCTTTGATTCTCAATTGGTTGTTAGCCAATACCATGGTGACTATGAGGCCACCCATCCGGCTATGATCAAGTACTTGTAGACGGTCAAGGCAAAGGCCGAGCCGAGACACTTGACGATTTCAACTTAAGTCTAGTGCCACGGTCAGAAAACAATCAGGTGGATGCTTTGTCAAAATTAGCATCGTCCCCCTCCTATGATACACCTCGGTCAGTCTTAAGGGAAGTGATGGAAAAACGAAGTATTGAAGAGGACCCATTGAAGTACTAGACCGAAGTTCAACCTTGATGGACGGCATCCGGGCCTATCTGCTAGACGACACTCTACCAGAGGCATATCTAGAAATGGTTGCAATGAAAAAACGTGCAACCAACTTTGAGATTCATAATGGAGAACTTTTCAAAAAAGGCTTTTGGAGCCTCTTTTGAAGTGCATCACCCCACAAAGGGGGCAAGAGATTCTGGAAGATCTACATTCGGGCTACTGTGCCTCACACATAGGCGACAGGGATATTTCTGGTGAAGTGTGATAAGTGTCAAAGATTGGCAAGCTCATCCACCGTTCGGCCACTGATTTGACGGCCATTCATAGCCCAGTACCATTCGCCAAATGGGGCATGGACATTCTGGGTCCATATACAACTGCGCCAAACAGACAGCGATATATCTTAGTTGCTACTGGCTATTTCACCAAGTGGGTGGAGGCGGATGCGGAGGCTGTCAAAGACATTAAGATAAAGGATGTCATCTCTTTCATTTAGAAGAACATCATCACCCGGTTTGGGGTACCTATGTCTATGGTTTTTGACAATGACCCTCAATTTGAGACGCCTACTCTCGAGAATTGGTTGGGAGATCAAGGGATCTCACACTGTTTTGTATCCGTCGGCCGACCCCAAGCAAACGCCCAGATTGAAGCCTTCAATAAATTAATCTCAGATGGCATAAAGAAGAAAATTGAAAGAGCTGGCGGTCTATGGGCAGAATAGTTAACTCATGTCCTATGGGCCATCGGAACAACAGAAAAAGGGGCAACCGGCGAAACTCCATTCCTCATGGTATATGGTGTTGAAGCCGTCTTGCCTATTGAGCATTATAGGTTAACTCTTCGAGTCATGATGTATGATGAAGAGTCAAACTGGGAGGCCATGCGGCTAGCATTAGACTCACTCCCAGAACGCAGGGTCAATGCCGCCTTGCGTCATGAGATTTACCGTCTGAGAATGACAAGAGCCTACAACAGGAGAGTACACAAACGATCCTGAAGGTTGGGGACTTTGTGTTACGGAAAATGGAGGCAACCGGTAGGGCCAACGAGCAAGGCAAGTTAGCGCCCAATTGGAAAAGACCCTACCGGATCTATGAAGAAATAAGAGGCGGCACGTACCACCTGGAAACACTCACTGGACGGCAGGAAGCTAGCCAGAACTTGGAACGTAG